TTGCCAACGTTGTCGCCGAGTTATGCTGGCTTCGCAACCTCCTACTTGAGCTACACTCACCTCCTACCAAAGCATCTATTGTCTACTGTGATAACATTAGCGCCATATACATGGCGGGCAACCCGGTCCAACACCAGCGGACCAAGCACATTGAAATCGACATTCACTTTGTTCGGGAAAAAGTAGCTTGGGGGAGGTCCGTATTCTACTCGACACCAATTCGCGGACATATTCACCAAAGGCTTGCCACGCATTTTATTCGATGATTTCCGTTCCAGTCTCCACGTCCGGTTGCCTCCTTCCGTATCGACTGCGGGGGCGAATTAACCGTAGCATATTATTGCTTCCAGACAACACATTTATTTGTTATTAAAGCTTATTATTTCTTACCTTTTTTTGTTGTAACCTACACATCTTATACATTTATAGTTAGCATATTCTTAGGCTGACTTTTTTGGTACTGCAGCCGTTAGCCTTGCATGGCTTCGGCAATCCCATGCGTGTGTATATATTATATGGCCGATTGGCCTAAGAATGCAAGGAACATTTTCCTCTCAATTATATTGTTCCAATTATAACAGTAGTAATGGACTTCATTGACTCTCTTTTGTGGGCTGTAACCCAAATATTTAAACTGGTCTTTTTATTGCGCTCGTAGCTGTAATGGACTTCATTGACTCTCTTTTGTCGGTTACCTTTCGTAATGTGTTTGCATATTATTATTGTGCACCACAAATTTCCTGTTTTTTCCCAAGGTTGGGCATCAACCGTCGCGCAACGAGCGCGCCCAAGCTAGTGTATACATATAGTTAGAAAATAAAGGAAAAAGGTGCAAATAGGCCCATGTACTACCAAAAAAGGTCAAATAAGCCCTTATTTAGGAGACTCTGTCCGGCCGTCGTCATTTGGGGTGGTTCCTGTTGGAATTTTTTGATTAAATTTTTTGAGCATCTTATTCATCAAGTCTAGTTTACTCATACCAAATTTCGGCTAAAACTTCAATCGGGAAGGCATTCAAATGAATTCTTGAAGATAATTGTGATTCTAACTGCGCAGTTAGTTTCAAGAATTCATTTGAATGCCCTGCTCAATGAATTTTTAGCTGAAATTTGGTATGAGTAAACTAGACTTGATGAATAAGATGCTCAAAAAATGTCATCAAAAAATTACACTGGGAACCACCCCAAATGGCGATGACCGTACAGAGCCTCCTAAATAAGGGCTTATTTGACCTTTTTTTATTAGTATGTGCCTATTTGCACCTTTTTCCGAAAATAAATATAATTGATAAATAATGATCAAAGTAGATGCTTATAACATAATATCAAATATTTTGGGTACTTGAAGACTTGAAACAAAAAGAGTTATAACTCCTAATTATATAATTAAACATCTAAGACATAATCTCTTAGTTAAAATCATAATCTTCCAAAGAATCTTCATCCCCTCCTCCATCATCCAAATCACCCACATCCAAATCAACACGAGTCATCTCTTGATCCTCTGCAGCTCAGGGTGAACCATCTTCATTGACAATTGGGGTGTTCACAACTAAGTTGTCAGCATCTACACCTGCTTCATCCTCTTCAATAGCATCTTCCATAATCCACTCATCGTTCAATGTTTTCTGCTTTAAAAGATTTCTCTCTTTGTGTGAACCTAATTAAATAGAGATTATGGAAAACAAAATAATTATTTATTCTATAGATAATTATTAGAAATAAAATTATATCACATACCATCTCGAACGCACTCCAATTACGTTCACATCCAGACGAAGAATATGTCAAGCTTAGTACTAGAATGGCAAACTTTTGAAGCTCATACTCGTCTCCGAAAGACTCTCACCAGTCTGATGGACTCTTGTTATCTAGCTAAATGAGTGTCAAACAGATTTGCACGTTTCTTAAAATCATTGAGTTGGACATCTATCTTTGCTTGTACTTCAACCAGGGGCGGATCCAGGAAAGTCATTTTGGGGGGATATTTTTTTTTTGGGTTCAAAATATTTTTTGGGAAAGAGAAAATTATTTTTCATATATATACACTAAAAATTGTACTACGGTCCGCCCCTGACTTCAACATCATCTACCATACGAGTGATGCAGTTGTACAAACCTTTTTTTAACTTCAATAACAACGTTCCACAAAGGCAAGTAACAAATGAATAATTATAAATTAATAGTTAGTTTACAGAAAATTAGGTAAATATAATATTTTAGGCACCTTTTTTTGACACTGTTGAAAGCACTTTGTATTTTTTCTTTAGCTTGATCCATTGCCTCATACATGAATCCCATCACTGGTCTTGTAGTGCAACCTGTTTTCTTCCACTCCTCTTTGTGCTCTTTCACAACAGCTTCCATCAGGTCCATTTCTTGCTTTAAGTACTTCACTCTAATTTCATGATAGGATGGCGGTTTGAAACCAGGATCATGCTTTGCGCTCAACTCACTCATATTAAAAAATTCTTCACTTCTCGTGACATTTAATGATGGTAAACGAATCAAATAATTTGTGCTCGATTCGCGATTCGAATTCGTATAAGACGATTCGAATTCGGAAATTTCAAATACAAATACAAATAAAAATATTAAATTTGATTCGAGTATTATCAAATACAAATAAGAATATGAGTGCATTCGATTCGAATATTAATCAAATATATTCAATTAATAATAATGGTAATATTAATGTCAATATTAATAATAGTAGTAGTAATAACACTATAATAACTTTTAAAAGATAGCAATACCCTCAAAATGTAACCCATATATACACTTTTGCATACAAATTCCAAGCCTATTTGCAATAAATCAGAATATAAATACAAATACAAATCAATTTTTTGGTTCAAAGGTCTTTCAAATACAATACAAATAATTATGTATTCGATTTGAAGAATAAAATTAGAGTTGTTTGACTTTGATATATACAATTATCAACTTATTTCACACATTATAAGTATAATTTCTAATATGTGTATGTTAGTGTTTATTTTAAAAAGTTTGAAATAGATTTATATTTATTAATCATAAAATTAATTCACTTTAGTATATTGTGTACCATCTAAAAATGCATTGATCCATTAAATTTAAATTCAAAAAGCACATATTAAATTTTAGAGTGATATTTGACTAAAATTTAACTTATGCTCAAATCGATTCGATATTCGTATATGCTGGCCCGGTTCTGACAAATCGGAGGCCCTGTTCAAAATAAAAATTATAGGCCCTAATATTTAATATAACTAAGTACTAATAATAATAAAATAAAAGGTAATCTTGAAAGCATCGTTTACTTCTAAAGCCAATTGGTTTAGTCTCTTTTGTTATAATTTTTTCTAAAGGCTCTTTTCTTAGATAGAATCAACTCTTAGATTATTTTTTTCTTATTACTTCTTGCATATCCGGAATCATATTTTCTGTTTCTAGAAGGCATTATAAATTTCTAACCTACCTATAATTTACTCCGTATAAGATACCAGAGAATCCAAAATTAAAAAATAAAAAATAATATAATCAATTACAGAAAATATCAGAACACAAACACCTGAAACCGGTGAAAGTATGAAAGCATGCAGTGAAACAGAATGAAACACGAAGAATGAAGTCGCCGGCTAGTAGCTTAATCCCTGCGGCACTCGCTTCTGAAAATTGGAATATGGTCGGTGGCCGCTTGACTAGTTGACTGAAGAATGACTAGCAGTGTTCTCCGCAAAGGATTAAAGGAGATAGGAATTATTTACAATATAATCCGAATTGTAAAAGAATAAATTTCATAGTTTCTGTAGCCGCTCGAATCATCATCATGTCGTCTCCTGGAAAATTGATTCGTCGTTTGGATTCTCTAGCCGTTTAAGTCTCCAAAAAATCACTGAAGGCTATCCATCCGTGTAAACTACCACTTAAGATTTTCTCTAAGAACGGGATATTTCAGATTATTCCGGTGATTCAGCCATTCCAGTGATTCGAACACATTATTTTTAGACAAAAATCTGGTTCGAACACATTAATAATCTAACAGTAAGTGCTAAGTTGTATCATAAGTTTATATGGAGTAATGGATTAATCCGGTGATTCAGCCATTCCTAAATATTTCAGATTTTCTCTAAGAACGGGATCGCAGATGGAGTACTGATTACTGAAGCATAAACTCCTACGAGCTCACGAGTTGAATCGCGGTTTTGACTACCATGGATATAAGAGGTTAGGTAAGAATAAAAAAAATACGAACCAACTTGGCGCACCTTAAAATGTGCTGGGCGCATCCCACTTTCTTCAAAATTGGACATATTTGTCTTCCTCCTTATTTGTGTTTTTTGTTGATCGTGCTCTTTCAGTCTTTTGTAAGTTTTACCAAATAATTGCCGCTCGTATGACAAGAAGTCTTGGTCTTTCCAAAATATGACTTCAAAGTTTTATTTCCTAATCTATGTTACCCGTAATCTTCCGTCATACACTTCCCATACGGCTAATTTTTTTTATTCCTTCGCTACCCTTCCGTCAAACCTACGGTCATAGTACATTCATTTCAAAACCGTTTAAGCATTTATTTCACAATCTCCAATTAGGTAACCGTTTTCCATCTGTGATTACCTCAATTCTTCAACCTTCTTCCAAATAACGGTTTCCTTCTTCTATTCGTTCTTCCTGGTGGGGCTTCGTGGTTCGGAAATTATGAAAATCACCTGTTCTCGAAATCAATCTCCAAACATACATGTCTTGATGAACGTAGATGGTCAATGGCTGTCTAACGTTCACTTTCATAGCTCAAGCTCCATCGCCATTGATATTCCTTTCTCCTGCAAGTGGATTGACTTTTGTGCGATTGTATACGATTCATTGGGCGTAAGAGATTGTGAACGTGGTATACGTATTTCATGTGTATTTGAAGCATGTCCTCCACCGATTATCATCAATGACGATTCTAGCTTGATGTTTTATCTGCAAATTAAAAGCATTCAATCGGACTTCAATAAGCTTCCTCTGTGTGTAGAGTTTCTTCAACCGTTTCAAGGTTTGTCAAATATTTCTCCATGTTAATTTCGCTTGCAATTCAATTTATCTGCATTTTTTGTAATTACTTTTATTTTGATTTCAAAGGATGTACTCAAAGTGTGTCAAATACGGTTAATTACTCTATTTCCGGTGATGAAGTTTTTGATGTCTTTGAGGATTGTGATTTATTTCAGCAGCAGATGAACAAACAATGCACTGTAGTGATGTTTTTTCTCCCTCATCCAGCATTGAGTACTCTGATTTCACTCCTTTGTCTTTTGATGAAGATGTTAACAATGATGAGTTAACATCTTCTTTTGAGGTTCCTCTCAGATCTTTTGTCCCCCACTTTGATCCCACTCGTCTTGCTGTGGACGCCATATATAAAAACAAGAAGGAGTTTAGTTTTAATTTGAAGATGTATGCAATTACTAATTTTTTCCAATACCGAACAAAGTCATCTTCTCCTAAGGTGTTACATGTTATTTGTTTGGATCCTGATTGTCTGTGGGCTGTTCGTGGAGTTCGCTTGGATGAAAGTGGCTTGTTTCAAGTGCATAGGTTAGTGACTTTCTATCTTTGCTTCTTTATTTTTTTAGACATGCTTATTGTATGACTTACAATACGTATTGTTTGCATAATCTTTACATTATTTAATGCAGTGCTATTGCACTTATAAGCTGCAACTAATGAAACTTATTAGGCCTTATATTTTGTATTTTTACTTGTATAGCCTTGTGCAGTTCCATATTTTTTCTGAAGTTTGGTGTCATCATATGTATTAAAGTTATACAGTACAATGAATGAATAAATTCTATCATTTTTATATCTGTGTTTCTGTATTAAAATTATCTACTTATATTTTTTCCCCACTTTTACATCCTTGTGAAGTTCGAAATTGCGCTTGTACTTAGTTTTTATTATCTGCACTACATTTATGCACCTTAATGAATGCATCATTACATGTTGTTAATGCGATCTGTTCTTGTTCCTTTTCAGATTTGATAACGACCATACTTGTCCCATTGATATTAGACAAGCTAATAGTCGTCAGGCGTCTTCCTCTCTTATTGTTGAACTCATCAAGCATGAATATGATGACTTGTCTAAAAGAGCTTACACACCTCAGTCAATCATTACAGATATGCGAAGATTGCATGGAATTGTGATGTCATATAAAAAGGCTTGGTTTGCAAGGGAAATTGCATTGCAATTGTCTCGTGGATCTGAAAAGGAGTCGTACAGTAGACTTCCATCTTTGTGCTACATGCTTGATAAAGCAAATCCAGGTTCGGTTGTTTCATGTTCTTGTAATGAAAATGGAGAATTTCAGAATTTTTTTATGTCTCTTGGTCCATGGAAAGTTGGATGGGAGAAGTGCATTCCAGTTATTATTGTTGATGGTTCGTTTTTGAAATCGTATTACAAAGGAACACTACTCACGGCATGCACGCAAGATGCTAACAAGCAGATTTTTCCACTTGCATTTGGTATTTGCAGTGTTGAAAATACCGTTAATTGGACATGGTTTTTCAACATGTTGAAGAATTGTCTCAAGCTTAGAGATAATTTGTATGTGGTGTCTGATCGTCATGAAGGAATCATAAATGCGGTTCGTTCTGTTTTTCCATATGCTGAACATGGATATTGTGTTTATCACATATTGGGCAATATAAAATCAAAATTTCAAGGTTCTGCAAAGGTGTTGTCTTGGAAATTCTTACAAGCAGCGAGAGCGGGTTCAGTTTATGAATGTGAAGAGTACCTTTCCAGGCTTGATTATGATGACCCCGGTATACGTAAATACTTGCAAAAAATTGGTAATGACAAGTGGTCTCGTGCATACGCTAGCCGCAACCGCTATTCTGTCATGATGTCTAACAATGCAGAGTCTTTGAATGCTGTTTTTGTCAAGGCGCGTGAGTATCCCATCTGCAAATTGATTGAGTTTATAGTACGAACAATGCAAACATGGTTCTGTGAACGCAGAGAAGCGGCTGCATCAAACAAATCTCGGCTCTCTGCTTACTTTGAGGCGCAATTACAGCTATCGCAATCAAATGCTACATTAATGCAGGTACTTGAATGCAGTCATACTGTACTACATTCTAGAGTAATTGTTATTTCTTTATATAATTATCATCTTCCGTTTTATGTTACACGTTCCATTTTTTATTTCTTTATAGGTCAAGCCATCATGTATCTTTGAATTTGAAATCTTTGATGTGAAAGGAAGGTCATATGTTGTCAATTTAAGAGAAGGCACTTGTACATGCCGTGAATTTGAACTTGATGGCTTCATATGTGTTCATGTCGTTGCTGCAATCCGTTCTCGTCCTGGACTTTCTTCTTATGACTATATCCCTGAATATTATACTACACATAAATGGTTTTCAGCTTATGAGGGCATCATTCATCCCATTGGTAGTCCCGATTGTTGGGTTGTTCCCCATGACATATTAGAAGTCATTTGCAGCCCTCCCTCTTGTTCTAAGAGACCTCCTGGAAGACCCAAAAAGCGACGTATTCCATCCACCGGTGAACATGTGCGTCAACAAAAGTGTACACGTTGCTCAATGGTTGGTCACAATAGAAAGACATGCCGAAATCTCATTCCGCGCACTCGCTCCTAATGTTGATTTTTTTAAATGATGCTTTACATTTCAGTTTACAAGTGATATAGATGTTAATAAACTTCTGTGTTTGAATATGTTTTTTTTTTGCTTACGTATTGCAGTAATAAATGGAATATTCATCTGTATTGATGACCATTCTTATAAATGTAATGTCTCTTTACATGTTTTGGTGTACTCGTCCTAACATTACAAGTGTTTTGTTCACTTGATATTCCAAATCAATTGGTTTGTAATTACACGCATGTTCTTTTGATTATATGTTTCTTATTACAAGTATGTTTTCAATTATTTGTACGTATTGCAGTTTGCATCTGTAATGATTACCATTCATATAAACCCAATGTTACGTGTTTACGTATTCAGTCAAAGATTAAAACCTCCTTCAAGTCATTTTGAAATATACATATATCTAACATACTAAAACTAATTTTCATTGCTACAATGTTGTTTTCATGAAATGAATGTATGTTTTTGTTTACTTCAGATTAACAATAAGCACATGTCCTAACTATGTGCATTAATCTTACGCAGTACACTACTGCATTATATGCCTAACGTAGAAAATAGTCATATTACTTTGGTGCTTATTAAGCACACTTTTCAATGTAAAACAGTGAATACTTCACAAGCAATGTTATGTTCAATCCAAACAACAACCATATTAAATCGTAATACAACAATACTTGAGTTTAATCAAAATAAAGCATCCCCAGTAAAAGCAAATTTCAGTTCATTACACATTTCTCAAAGACATTCATTCAACTCCATTGACATTCACCAGTCCATTGTAATGCAGGACCTCAGTTACAAACTTCTTCCGGTAAGTCCACATGTCCCTGGAATTCACTTCATTAACATCTCTCCCCATCATTAGGTACTCCGCCATTTTAAGTACAAATAGTCCACAACTATCCCTGCGCATTTGAAAAAAATTACAATGTTAATTATGTACCAATACACATTTTATTTTTAAGAAATTCAATCCACTTACCCGTCATTTTGTTGCGGACTGGATACCATAACCCATCCCAGTTTTTCATCTCCAATTGGCTGTTCACCACGCTCTTCATACACCCTGCACCAATCCATTAGTTTTCCTAAATGAATTTCCAAACAGGGCAAGAACTCACTCAATTGTCTACTTGGTGTTCCAAGGCGGTTATTGGAGTCATAAATCCTAATACGCTTTTCTGCCACATCAAGCACAAGTAGAACCCAATGATTCCCAATATTCATCGGCATGTACACATGCTCACACTCGACCCATGGTAGCCCGTAAGGCACATTTCTCCCAATTATTGCTCCAACAATACTTTTGTTTTGTACAGACTCTCCTAGGGTGCTTTGATTTCTCTCAATCAGCTCATGGTGTTGTTTCAACAATGTCGTGAAAAAAAAATCCGTTGTCGTGAACTTCTGCTGCAGTGAGTATTCTTGTGCTTTGACTCGCAGGTAGTATAATATGACATCAATGTGCTGGGTAAATCAAATCACCATAAGTAGTACTAATGCTCAATCTTAACATTGTTTAAAAAATTAATAAAAATATATATATACTTACTGTGTCTTTTATCCAATTCCCCTGAAACCATATGTCATAGTACCATGACTTGCTCATCAGTCTTCCATCATTCCATAATGGTGTCATATTTCTCAATCTCACAGTTTCGTGTTTTGCATTATACCTCTTCAAGCCACCCTTTTCATGATTTTTTAGTAGCCCCGCATACATGAAATCAATTATAATTTCTAGCAACTTATCACTTGGCTGCTGTTTTGGGTCTAATGTCAGAGGCCCTCTCACTACTCCTTTTTTTACCTCAATTCTGCTGGCATCCTTCTTTCTTCTTTTCCCGTTTCCGGGCCCTGACAAAGATAATCTGTTTGGTGCTTTAGCATCTCTCCTTGGCCTTCTCTCAACTTCTTCAAATGCACCTGTTGGTCCCGTTTGTAATGGGAACAGTCTAGAGGGGGGGTTGAATAGACTGTTCAGGAATTGAAAGGTTCGTAACCGTTAGGGGATTTCCCGTTAGTTTAACGACCGTTGGAAGGGCTTCCAGATTCTGATGATACTTAGCAGAGTCTCAAGAGGTTCTCTGGTCCAATCTCTGAAGTCCGTCTCTGGTGCCAACTCTGGTACCTTTCTGATAACCAGTTTCTGATGGCTTCTCTGGTGAGCAACTCTGGGAGCAACTCTGGTAGAGGCAAGATGGAACTCTGGCAGGCAGACTAAGCTAAAACTTACAAAAGAAATTCTAATACACAAATTCTAATGGGGTACTTTCAAATTCTAATTAACCTAGCATCATCAAAATCTAAATACATTTATTCCTTACAGCACCTTCTTTCATCTAAATTATAATACGAATAACTTAAAACATAACACGAGAATGGTCATCAATACAGATGAATACTGCATTTATTATAAATAATATACCTCAACCGCATCCTTCTCTTGGAGATCATCAGATTTTTCACCAATTGATTGCTCAGTCATTGCCATATCGACTCTCTCTGCTTCAACATTTTCTACCTAAATTTTAATACCAGTTAATTAAATAATAACACTACAACAGTAGCAATAGCAAAATATGAAAACTCTAACTGCATTTAATTAAAACATACGCCATCCTTCTTCTGGAGATCTTCACAGTTCTGAGCAACTGGTTTCTCAATGTTTGCTGCATCAACAACTTCATCCACTGCTTGATTAGCCATCACATTTTCCATGATTTCATCCACTGCATTAACCAATACTTGGGTATTGATTGGGTCCTCAACTCCATCCCCCCAATCTGTCTGCACTTCATCATTTGTTCCATTTCTATCTTTCCTCTCTTCAGCTTTGCCATTAC